TCCCTTTAAGAGTGCGGGGCAGGGCGGGGGAGGGGAGAAATGCAGGGAGTGATCGAGTAGTTGATAGTGCTACCCGGTAAGCTGACTCCTTCACATCCTTACTACAGCAGTAGTTACTCACCATGGAAGAAATGGCCTCACCTGATTGCATGAAAGCTACAATAAATTCATTGCATTCTGATTATGGAGAATAATGAGCCATGGCTTATTAGTAGGAAAAAATATAGAGCTATGGGTTTCATGGGTCTTGCTAGAATGTTTGAAGAACTGGTTTTGAAGATAAACAGAAAGCTTGTTTTTTTCCATTTGTTGTGTCTTTCACTACTTAGTAAAGGTAGACGCCTGAACACTATGAAAATTTTCTTTTTAATAGATTCTTGCTGTTCTTGGCTCCTGAAGTTTCCAAAATGGGTGACAATTTGTTAGGAGGAATGAGTTATACATCCCCAAGAAAGCTTTTCTAATAAACCAAAGAGCAAATAACTGACATGTAGATATCTCTGTTTATATATGGTAACCTAGGATGGTGGTTAAAATACAATTGTTTTTCACAGTGCCCCAAGTAATTTGGAAGATAATTGTTGATGGGGGAAGGGGAATTGAGAGACTGACTCTCTCTCTCTCTCTCTCTCTGAAATTTGAATACATTGTATCCTACAGCGCCACTGGGAAATGTCAGTGTGTGGAATTTTATTAGTTGACGAGAACCATTATGACTAAATCTCAGACTATTTTTTTAAAATTGCATGTATTTATGAATAATAATTCATGTCCATGAGAAAAATGTTAATCAAACCATGTATGGTGTGTATTTGCAAAGTGCTGCTAGCTGCTTGCTCATCATTACTGGAAAACTGTGTAGCTGTAAATGCATTCACTTGTCAGATCTCTGAGTTCCAGGTTAATCAGAACAAGTACAGGCAGTCCCCGGGTTACGTACAAGATAGGGACTGTAGGTTTGTTCTTAAGTTGACTTTGTATGTAAGTTGGAACTGGTACATGTTGTAGGGGAAACTCTAGCCAAACATTTCTCCAGAGCTCAGTTTTATTCTCCCACACCTCACTTCCCTCAGTCATTTATTCTCAAGCTGAGGTGTCTGCTGAGAAAAGCCGCTCCACGTCTCCCTGGTCTGCTGGGGGGAAGCAGCTAGTGCGGGGTTGCCTCACCCCGTTTGTAAGTAGGGATCCGATGTAAGTCGGATCCATGTAACCCGGGGATTGCCTGTATGTGCAGAGAGGAATTGACCCAGCCTGTGCCAATAATCCCACTCTCTGATCCTGGTAACATCTGTGCTGGATTTTCTTCCTTTATATAATTAGATCCATTGATGTTTTCTTAGTATTTAGCATATAATGTGGCATGCTACTCTGAAAGTACAAGCTAAAAATATATTTTAAGAGTAAGCAAGCTAGGAAATGGCTCATGGAACTGGTTAGCTATATGGTATGAAATTTTAATCTCTAACTTTTTTTTTAAAGATCTGTATTACCTGTTCAGTGGAAATGCCACTATTAATTGACACTTTAGAATATTTTTACCTTCAAGAGATAATTTTAGCTCTTCTTATTATTGGTTTATAATTTACATAAGCCTCTGCCAAATTTTTAATCTGTGATGTAAAACAAATGGGCAGACCAAAATAAATAAATAAGCCTACTGTTATGAAAACAAAATGGAATTAGAACCAGACTTACATGGTTAGCTTTAGCCCTTGCTTTTGAAACTGTAATCACTGTCTGGCTATGTGTGAGGGAACCAAAGAAGCATGTTTGGATTGTGAGATAATGGAGTTGTATTTACATCATAGAATTACATCTTTCTCATAGCCAGAACTCTCTGAATTAGGACATGGACACCATGGCGGTCAGCAGGCTACATTTGTTACCTAAACTGATTGGCTTCTCTAAAAATTTTTTTTTTTTTTTTTTTTAAATCAAGGGCTATTCCTAACCTAATAATTTCTGGTAACTAAGCCAGAAAATGTAAGCATCTGATACTCATGCAATTGTCCAGAAATCACAATTTTTTGGCTTTTAGAAACTTTTTGCTGCAGGCCACAATTCCGCGTATAGATAAGATAACTGCGGGCATAAGTGTCCAATTTTAAGATCCTATTAAAAAATAGCAAAGGCCCTTTTTTGAGTACTGTAAATTGAATAAAGTCATGATTAGACCAACCTTGAGCTACGCTGATTTACATCAGCTGAAGATCTGATCCAGGGTGTTCAGAACACTGGTTAGGCTACAGGAAAAGATGCAACTTACATTGTTGAGAGTCCACTGATGAAAAACAATTCCCAGATATTCCTACACTAGCTTAATGTAAAGACTGGTCTAATCTTGGTCTAATTAGACAAAGAATGGTTTAATCAGAGCCATGCAATAGTGCATTAATGTGCCTTTTTAAAAAAAATCTGTTCTGAAACCATTTATTCTTCATTTCCAAGTCTCACCTGTTGTACGGTGTGGGCCTGCGTGGCCACCCACCGCCTCGGCAGCAGCACTCTCCATTCCCTTTCCTGCTCAGCCACAGTGAGGCTGTCCTTGCTAAGGCTGTCTTACCACAGCACAAGTTCATGAACTGTGGCAGCCATGCAGCCCAGTCATTGTAGCCATATGGTGGAGGGAGACTGCTCTGAGGGCTGGAGCTTCTGGGGAGGGGCGGGAGAGGCCTGAGTGCGTGTCCCTGGGGCTCCAGTCTAGGTGTGCAGCTCCCGGGAGCTAAAGGGTTAACACCCTTCCTCCCCCTCTGCACTACAAGCTTCCTGCTTTGGGAGGGGCAGAGCTGGGCCTGCTCCGCAGAGCCAGGGCCTGGGCTGCGCTGCGCCCTGCAGGCTGGAGCCAACCCTGGGCAGTCCTGGGTTCTGCCTGCCTCAGCCCTAGAGGCAGGGCTGGGCAGGGAAGAGATTCTGTCCCCTCCCCCACCTCTCCTCATCCCAGCACTACTCCCAAGGGACTGCGAGTTCTAGCATTACTGCCCTACTGGTGAGTGTACTGGGGCACAGGGATGTGGGGGCAGGAGGTGAAGGAACAGCTTGGGAGGGGGCAGGGATTGCACTGAGCGGCATGGAGCAATGATTTATCATTTGAAGGTTGAGCCAGGTATCTATATGAGTCAATCTAATACTCTTAAAATGTTAGGATATTAATCGCTGCTTATTAAACTAATTCTTGGATGGCTGTTCTAGCTATACCTCAAAAGTAAAACACCGTGTAGTTCATTTAAGTTATATTTAATCTAGCATCTCTTTGAACATTTTTTTTCAATAAGCCTGTTGCTTTAAATGTTCAGATATCTTAGAACTGTAGGGCTCGAGGGATATTGCGAGGTCATCAAGTCTTCCTTGCTGCAAATTGGGCACATTACTTGTCCTACCTTCAGTTTATGTGGAGAACAACTGATCCTCATCCCCTTTATAGCAGTTTTAATGTATTTGAAGATGGTTATCAGGGCCCCTCTGAGTCTTCTCTGTCTAAACCCTAGACCAACCAGTAGATCGGGATCGACTGGTAGATCTTGGCGCCTCTGACAGGTGATCCTGACTGGTTTGGCCAAGAGGCTATTATCACGTGCAGCACTTCAGCTGCCCCTCCCTCCACTGCTGTGCAGCTCCTGCCCTTTGCCTTAGAGCTGTCCCCTCAGGAGCTTCCTTCTTGCTGTTCAGGGAAGAGAGAGGAGGGTGCTGATGTCAAGGTGCCCCCTCTACCACTCTGTATCCTATCTCCACAAAGCGGGGTGGTTGGTCACAACAGGGCTTGGGATGGAGTTTGCTGGCCACTTTTGGGAGCAGTGCAGAGCCAGGTCAGGGGGAGCATGCACCACCACACTGAAGTGAGCAGTGTCCAGCTGGAGCCCACACCCCGAAACCTTAACCCAGTCATGAACCCTCCTCTTGCACCCCAAGCCCCTGCCCTCGCTCCAAGCACCCCTGCATCCAAACCCCCTCCCAGAGCCTGCACCTAGAACCCTTCCTGCACCCCAGCTGCCTGCCCCAAGGTCATCTCAGAGTCCCTCCTCACTCCAAATCCCTTAATGCAAGACCAGAGCCTACACCCCAACCCGCTGCCTCTGCCTGGTGAAAGTGAGGGAGGATGGAGTGAGCAGGGGCAGGACTTCAGATAAGGGGCACAAAGGAGGTGGGGCCAGGGTGTTTGGGATTGAGGTAGATCTTGGATTGCACTCAAATTCAAAAAGTGATCTTGTGCTTAAAAAGGTTGGAGACCCCTGCCCTGGATATTTCCCTAATTTGCTCATAAAGATGTTGTATGGGACCAGTGTTCCCTCTAAGATTCTACATCCATGAGCGGAGTGAGTTTTGTCTTGATTAGAAATGTTAATCCGAAATGCCAATTAACATAATTCCCTGAAAGGAGAGCCAACCCAGCTGAGGGAGGATCTGGGAGAGTGCTATAAACAGGAAGTTGGCTATTAAGAAATGTTGCAGTATTAATTTTAATTTGACTTCATATTAAATAAACATTTAAAGTCATGCACCTTGTTAATTATCCCTTTTTAAATTTTCTTTCTTCATAATAACTTATATTTGTTAATAACTTGGGTCCGTAGTACACATCCGAACAAGCACACATTACCTCAGTATTGACGCACAAGACCAAACTCGCTCAGCTCACGGATGGAAAATCATAGAGGGATCACTGCTGTTGTCTGCTGCAAATAGTTTTGAAATAACTCTTGTATGCTTTAGATCTGAAAGCATTGACTAATTTTTATCATTTATTTCATCAGCTCTTCAGTGAGTATTTACTTTGTGTATGAGACATTTGGTGAGTTTTAAAGATGGTTGACCACCTCCCTTAAGTAAAATTTTGTAATGTGACTGCTTCATTTTGTCAGAGTATACTCTACTGTTTTCGGAATTCTAGATCATCTCTTGAAATGGTAGCATTACTTCAGTTGACAGTTTACACGCATGGGGTGATTTGACAATTTTATATTGACTTCCATTTGCATGAACAAACTTCTTCTTTTCTCCCTCAGTGTTTGATTGTTGGAGGTGGTCCATGTGGTTTGCGGACTGCCATAGAACTTGCCTTTCTTGGAGCCAAGGTTGTAGTTGTGGAGAAGCGGGACACTTTTTCAAGAAACAATGTGCTGCATCTTTGGCCTTTCACAATTCACGACCTCCGGGGCTTGGGAGCAAAAAAATTTTACGGAAAATTCTGTGGAGGATCTATTGACCATATCAGTAAGTACCAGTGATTCATGTACAATTTTGTTCAAGTCTTGCTATGCTATGAAGTCATGCTTCAAATATATTTAGACCTATTTTCTGGGCTGTCTAGGTAATGTTTCTTTACCAAAATACCATTGCCAATTCCTGAATACACACACTGAGAGAAATCCCTGAAGTCAAGCAGTTATGATTTGCTAAAATTTCTTAATCATATTTGAGTGATAAACTGTGCTCTTCATCAAAGCATTAAGAGAAACCTTGTGTCGATGTTTTGTATTTTTTAAATTGCTATCCACGATCAGTTAAACAGGCTTCATTGTAGGGTGCCTTTAAAAGTGTATTATAACAATTAAACATTTTACATTTGTATGAATGATACTGCTGCTTTATATATACAGTAGCACTTTAATTATCCTGCATGCTTCACAAAATACCGAAAAAAGGATGGTGCCTACCCAAAAGGGTTTTTAACCGAAGCTGAACAAAAACAACCCTCTTGATCCTGATTGTGGGAGTGTTTGCAGGCATTATTGAGAGTAGATCTTCTAGAGAAAATAGTGCTAACAGCAGAAAACCAAATATATTAAAAACATGGAAGTGAGTTTTGATCATCTTTGTGGGGGGGTCTCTGGTTTGTCTGAAAAAGAAAAGTAGGATGGAGGAGAAAGCCACACAATCACATCAATCTGTTTTCATTTGATTGTGCATTTATCACAATCATGGTAAAATGAGAAGTAATTTAGAGATATATTTGACTGATATGAATTAGATAGCAGGGTTGGTAAACAAATGTCCTTGTATGTGAAGGTTGAAATCCTGGCCCCATTGAAGTCAGGAAGAATTTTGTCTCTGACTCCTATGGGACCGGGTTTCCCCCATAGGGTGTGTCTAGACTACTGAGTTTTGTCGACAAAAGTGGACTTTTGTCGACAAAACTATACCTGCGTCTACACTACCGATGAGTTCTGTCAACATAACGTCGACAGAACTCAGTAGTTTTGTCGACGCTGGTAAACCTCATTTTACGAGGCATAACACCTGTCGACAGTTCTGTCAACAGAAGGTGTTATTGCCTGTAGGGTTGCGTCTAGACTACAGGGTTTTGTCGACAAAGCAGCTTGCTTTGTCGACAGAACTGAATGTGTCTAGACGCTCTATGTCGACAGAAGTTTTGTCGACAGTATCTGTCAACAAAACTTCTGTCGACAAAACCCTGTGGTCTAGACGTACCCATAATGTCCAAACATAAGAGATGCAGGACATACTTTTATACTGATAAGCTTCCTGAACAACTAGGCAGACCATTCATGATTTGCTTGTATGGTTTAAAAAGATGTTACCACCACCTCTCTGTATGCTTGTGTGATAATTTCTTAAGTATAATAATAAAATAGTAAGGAAGAGAAGAAAAAACACAAATCAAAAGATTTGTGGAACTCTGAATGTGCTTCCAACTTGCATAGGTGGAACTTACTGCTGCGTCTTAAGAGTGCTTGATACTTCCCATTTTAAAACCCAATTTTCAGTTAATTATAACTTTGTCAGATTTTAGCTCATGGGCTGAAATTTTTCATGTCAAGTCTCTGCATCAGGATGAATTTTATTTGGAAAATGTTAGATAAAATGGTTCAGCTATTGCCTTGAATGAGGCTAAGGATAATGACTCTGGCACGCTTTTCTTTTAGAAGCTCTAGTGTCTCCATAGTTTGGAGCAGAGACTTGAAATTTGGCAGGAAAGTGGCTATTGTGTCAGGAATATTTGCTTTCCCAATGAAAATTTGGCCAAAGTATAAGAACTTTGAAAAATTGCAGTAGGCAAACCCTCTGTATGTATTTACTAGATATGAGAGCCTCTCTCCTTTCTGGCACTCAAGCATTGTGGAGGAGAGAGCTGCCTGAAACAAATGCAGAGAGAGCAGGGGCCAAACTTGGGGGAGGGGAGCAAAAATGGGGAGTGTAGGAATGGCTGGACTAAAATTGGGATGAGAATCTTGTGGACTGGGGGCTGGGACTGGCTAGGAGAGAAGCATGGGACTGGCATGAGGAGCCAGAGTTGGGATGAGAGACACCTGGAGTAGGGCAAAGTTTGGGAGAAAAGGCAAAAGGGTCATGCTTTGGGGAATGGGGAGAAAAATCTGTGCCCACTGGAGCTTGGAATAGAGTACTATCCCCTCCAGAGATTGGAGTAGAACCAAACATTCCTCTGGTTTCTGCAAAGATCTGTGAAAACCTGTGTCTCATCCCCTTCACTGCTAGCTCACACAGAGGATGGCAATTTACTATTGTTGTCATTTACTCTACTAGCCCATGTGTCAGAGGACTGTATGTTGGATCTAAACCAGGGGTGGGCAATAATTTTAGACGGGAACCACTCCAAGATTTGGAAAAGAGGTCAAGGGCTGCACTGTTCCATGATACTAATGGAGGAGATGTGGGGTCTGGGATGGAGGTTGGGTGCAGAAGGGAGCTTGGGGTGCAGGAGGGAGACTGGAGCCTGGGAGGGAGTAGGGATGAAGCATGTGGTTGTAACCTAGGGTGGGGGACTGGAGTGCAGAGGTTTGGGAGGTGACCTAAGGTAGGAAGGGATTGTGATCTGGGGTAGGAGATTGGGGTGCCAGATCAGGGAGCAGGTATAGGTGTAAGAGGGGGACAGAGGGTTTGGGTATGTTGAGTGGGAGGGTGGGGCAGAGAGTTGGGACAGGGAAGGGCTGGGTGCCAGAAGCAGGCTGTGGCCAAGAGACTTGCTTGCCAGCTCCCAAACTTGCCTGCCTGCCTGCAAAGCTTAAAATGTTTCCCAGCCAGACAGCTTGTTTGGCTATGAGCTTCATGAATAACTCAGCCCAGGAAAAGGGGTGTGATTCTTCTTAGCACCCTGTTACTCCAACAAGCAGCTCCCATTAGCTGGTTTCTACCAGAAACTGGCCAATGGGACTATGCTGGGGGTGGGGCAGCTCCTAAAACTCCCTTCCCCTCCAGTTTCAAAATAGAAACTGAGCCCTGCAGCCATGTTTCTGCACAGCTCACGTGGCTGCGGGACAAGCTGGACAGCCTGCCTGGGGCTCCCCACTGCCTCCAAAGGCCAGATCCAGTGGCTTGGCAGGCTGGATCTGGCCCGCGAGCTGTATTTTGCCCAGGCCTGATCTAAACGACGATAAAAGAACATTAAAGTTGCAGAATGAAGCACTCAGTAAAGTTAGGCAGCCTTAATACTAACACTACCTATGTGGTGAAGAAGGGTGCTGTCTGCAGAGCTGCTGCTTCACTTGCAGAAGTTGGGCAGTGTGCAGTGAATGGGGCAAGGGATTGCAGGAAGAGAAGGGATGGTCTCTTGGTTCTGGCACTGGACTGCTGCCCAAGGAAATACAATTATATTTCTGCCCCTGCTGCAGCATGATGCAGGGCAAGTCATTCAAACCAAACTTTTCACAGCAGTGGCATAGCCATGGGAGGGCCTAAGTGGGCCATAGCCCACCCATGCAGGCCTCATGGTTCTTTGTCTGTCCATGTTTTTGCCCTGATCTGCTAGCCTGCTCTGAGCTATAGGAATGGAACGCAGAGGCTAACCCCACTCCATCTGGTCCTGCTTCTGGGAAGCAGGGCCAGGACTGATCCCACTGCATCTGTCATTCCAGCTGGGGAGTGGGACCCTGGTGCTGGGACTTAATACCATCTCCTATTATTGTCCACCCAACCAGTGTCAGGGTGGGCCCTTCTGGCTACGCTATTGTTTCACAGGTGGTCATGAATTATGTGTGCGCCTCATTGTCTAGGTGCCTGTTTTCAGATTCTTGGCCCCATTTTTACAAATGGGGAACTGAAGTAATAGAGATTAAGGTAAACAATATCCACTAATTTTGGATATCTACTTTAACATGCTGAGAACCTGAATTTTTTCAGAGTAGTAGCATTTTTTTTTCATGCTCAGTATCTTCAAAGCACGGCTCCCACTGTCTTCAGTTTTTTCAGAGTAGTAGCATTTTTTTTTCATGCTCAGTATCTTCAAAGCATGGCTCCCACTGTCTTCACTTCTGCAAATCAAGCCTTGGGGTCTCAAGGCCCCCCAGAAAATGAAAAACATGCAGTTAATGACCATGGGTGAAAATGTTTTAGCTCAAAAGGACGTGGCTGGTATCTAGGTACTCTGATAATAATACTGAAAACATGTTCTGCATCTGTGCTGTGTCTAGAACAAAATGGGGCCCCCAAATATTGCCATACTATTAATTTTAATAACAAATGCTATTGCATAGTCTAAAATGACACATGTATTATCGCTCTTCACAGGCATTCAGCAGCTTCAGCTCATCCTCTTCAAAGTTGCACTTCTGCTGGGAATCGAAATCCATGTGAACGTAGAATTTGTGAAAGTTCTAGAACCTCCTGAAGATCAGGAAAATCAAAGTACAACTGCTTGTGACTTAAAATAACAAAACTGAGAAACCAGTAACTTTGTCCTATTGAATTACTTGCATTGCTTGAAATAACTGTATTCACATGTGACCTAATTTCTAATCAAGCCAAGGTAGCATATTTCCTTATGAGACAGGCACAAGTTTCTTTAAGAAACAGTATATAGAATCACAAGCGTGATAACTGTTATTGTGTCAATACACTGATCCATTTACAAATATATCCTGCCCAGAAAAATAGAAGTTTCTCACTGTCTGCTGGCATGTGCTTGAAGTTTTATAGGGAGGCTAGTATGGCCTTTGGCTGGCTTCTTGGCATGAGAATTTTAAATGGATAAATATTAATTTTGAGAATGACTTTAAGCCCCGGGAACCAAATGTTTCTCTTTCTTCCATTCTGTGCAACTCCCGTTGACAGTTCCCTATCAGAAGTTAGCCATTCTCATTACCAGTATGTATAAACAAACTTGGTTCAAAATTGAATATAGAATGAGCAAATTTTCCATTTCCTGTCTTGGCAGCTAGTACTACTTCTGTGTTTTTAGTCGGCTGTGGGTAGATGAAACAAGATAGAGATACTAGTTATGATTGTCAGTATTTGTATTTAGAATATTTGTCAATATAAGTACAGCTAAAACAAACCTTTTCAGACTCAGTTTTAGGTTAATGGAAGTGATGCAGCTTTCTCTAAAGGGTAGCGACATTTTAGCTAAACTTGATTTTCCCCTCTCTTTGTAGATTAATTGGAAGCTGCTTAACAGTTTTTAAAATGAAATAATTAGGGTCCACTTCTGCAGACACTTATCTTTGTGAGTGAGTTGTCGCATTGAATTCAAACTGAGAGTTACGCGTGTGAAAAAAAATCTCTTAATCACAAGATTGGACCTATAGTCACCATAATGTTTTGAGTGATCCAAATTAAGGCATTCCTTTCTGCCATCAGGTTGCAAGCTTAAACTTTATTAATGTTAGTGGGAGTTGTACATAGCTTTGACCTCAGTGGAAGTTGTATGCAGATATACGAGGGCAGAATTTGCTTCAGTTTGAAAGGAAAATAGATTCTTCTTTGAGTGATTGCTCATGTCCATTTATCATAGGTGTGTGTGCTCGCCACTTGAATTGGTGCCAGAATATTTTTTCCCTCAATGGTATCCATACACAACTGGGTCTCAGTGCCCCCTGGAGTGGCATGCACATGCCGCACTATATAGGGAGCTCCTGGGCTCCTTCCTCTCCAGTTCCTTCTTGCTGCTAGTGACTGTGCTTAGAACTGTGTCCCAGCATAAGCTGTGGTGGTCTTCAGTATTTCCCGTTTTTCAAGTGCAAATAGGTTTAAATCATCAATAGATGTTAGACTCCATTGGGACTTGCCCCAGACTCCTGGATTTAAACTCTGTACTAAGTGCCTCTTAGTGACCCTCACAAAAACTGCCTCCGCTGCTTGTGTGAGGGTCTTATCAGTGAGAAGTGCTGAATTTGTAGGTCCTTCCACCCTAGGAAGAAGAGTCATTGGATTAAAGAAACTGCTGATGGAGTCGGCTTTGGCTCTGGAAGACCAAAGGTCTGACTTGGCACTGAGCACCAGCGCCTTGGTGCAGAACACTACACCTCCCAGCACTGACAAAATCTTTGCACTGAGAGTCTTCAGTGGTCCCAACGAAGTAGGGCAAGAAGTTGGAAAAAGACAAGTTCCCTGTACCACTAAAGACAAGGGCCAAGTTGGCATCGAACCAGAACAAAGCACCGGAGAAGGCCCTGCAAGGCTCTGAGCCTTTCCAGGTAGAGACATTCCAGGTAGAGCAGGACATTATTACCTCACCAGTCCTACTCTCGGCACTGGGGCCCCAGCACAGAGGAAGCCTTCTCTGGTGACACGGTCACTGGCCACCTGACGCTCCTGCTCTCCAGTGAGTTTGCTCAGGAGAGAGTCCTATAGCCTGGCACCCTGTTGTGTAGAGACAAAGGTCAGGCTCAAGAGCCATAGCTTCACCCAAGGTGCTGCACAGACCATCAGAGGTATGGGCTGCCCAGCAAACCAGGCCTAGTGGAGCCAGTCGCTCACCTTGCTGGGGGAGTCATTCATGAGACAGGTCCTGGCGAAGGTGACACTGCTCCCTGTACAGGGACTATTGCATGGCACTGGTGTTCCTGGGACGTGAAAGAAGGTTCTCAGGACCTGCTCTTCCTCCTGGTGCCAGAGATCCCTGTGTCGCTGGTCGCCTCTGTCACGGCTCAGGCCCAGAGGCAACTTTCAGTCTCTGACTCAGCCATGGGTGCTCCTCTCAATCCCTAAGGTCACCCTCTTCTGAAAGCTCCCAGAACTGCAGGGGCCAGAGTACCCGATCCTGGTTCTTGGCTTCGGCAAATGTTGGATCTGCAGGAGTCCTCTCAGAACTACCTTCCCTCCCACTGGCACAGGCATCGGCACTGAGACCTGAACCACCCACCCAGGCACTGCAAGGGGCCACAAGGCCATGGCCAGGGGCAAGTGTCTAAAAAGTTTAAACCTCTCCCTCTCAATCTTATGGAGTTTATGCTTTGCAAGACCCAACCCAAGAGGGGTCTAAGCTGTACAAGAGGAAGCAGAGCAAGCAAATTCAGTCGGCTATCCAACCCTCCTCTATCCACCCCAAGCTCCCAAGCAAGCACCCCTTTTGAGGATGTGCCCAAGGGACCTCTCAAGGCAGATCCTCCCCTTCTGTTTTTGTCTTGCCTCTACCCCTAGTTTTCAGCCACGAGGACCATTACCTTGGAGTAGTGGGTCCTGGCCACAATAAAGCATGGCTTTATCCTCCAACTCTCCTCTTCTTTCCCCCCGCCCCTTTTCCCATTCACCTTCCCCATCCCTCCTCAGGGACCCTTCTCATGAGACACTTCTCTCACAGAAAGTGGGAGAATTGTTCCACATGGGAGCAGTGCAAGAGGTTCCACTCTTATACAGAAACTGGGCCTTTTATTCCCCCCCTTTTTTTAAAAAATCCCAAAGGCTGGCGTGGGGAAGGGAGGGGGGCGCTATGCCCCATTCTCAAACTGTAAGACCTGAACCACCATCTACACAGCCTCAAGTTTCACATGGTCTCCCTAACTTCGATCATCCCCAATCTGGATTTGGGGTATTGGTATGCCGCCCTCGACCTCAAAGACACATACTTTTACATCATGATCTTTGAGAGACACCGGTGTTTCCTGAGGTTCACAGTAGGTGCATATTATTACCCATTTGGGCTTGCTACATCCCCCAGGGTCTTCACCAAATGTATGTCAGTGGTGGCAGCTTACCTGAGACACAAGGGGGTCCAGGTATACCCCTACCTCAATGACTGGCTGGTCAAAGGCCTCTCTGAGAGCAAAGTCCATCAAGATGTTGATCTCCTGCTGGACATGTGTCAGCAATTGGGCCTCCTGGTAATGGAGGAAAAATCTATATTAGTTCCAGTTCAGAGGATCGAAGCCATCAGAGCGGTGCACAACTCGATAGCAGACAGATTAGAGTTGCTCGCAAACCTCATTAGCCAACTGTCAGCTGCTCTGTAGACCACAACAAGAGTTTGCATGAGCACACATGGACACGTGCACCTTTGTCATGTGCCTCTCCAGACTCAGAATGTGCCCTCTGCAACTGGGGTTGGTGTCGGTTTACTCACCAGCCAGACACCCCCTCGACAGAGTGGTAATACCCCCTACGTCCATGTCCTCCAGACCCTGCAGCGGTGGACGGTATTGGACAACATCTTGGCAAGAGTTCCATTTCAGCAGCTGCAGAACTCCCTGGAGTTGTAGCTGATGCCTCCGACTCGGGCTGAGGAGCCCACATCGGCACATGGCAGATGCAGAGAACATGGAGTCCCACAGATCTGGGTCTGCTTATAAATGTCAAGGAGCTGAAGGCAGTTTGGAAGGCATGCAAAGTGTTTTTTCCCACACCTGTTGCTCACACCTGTCCTCATGGATAACACAGGCAGGGAGGGGCCCGCTCTACAGCCCTCTGTCAGGAAGCTCTAGAGCTATGGGAATTCTGCATCAAATATGCCATCTCCCTTGAAGCCTGCTATCTCCCAGGGGCTGAAAACACCATCACAAATCACCTGAGCAGGCAGTTCTCATTTACTATGTGTGGGCTCCCTCCCGCCCCCAACATGGTTTCCAGGCTCTTCCAAGAATAGGGATCTCCCAAAGTCAATTTATTCACTAACAAGCAGCATGCAAAATGCCCTTAGTTCTGTTCCTGACTGGGGCTAGAGGAAGGCTCACTGCCAGACATTTTTCTCCTCCTTTGGTGGGGTGGGAGGTCTCATAGAGGATCTTCCCACCCTTTGCTCTGATCAGCAACCTACTGCAGAAGATCAAGCAGGATTCTGCACAGGTTCAGCATGCTTGTCAGCCTTCTGGAGAAGAAGCCATGACCCCTGCCAGCCCACCAAGATCTTCTCTCATAGGACCAGGGACTACTGCTGCATCTGAACCTTTGGTCTCTCCATAAAACAGGGTAGACACTCCATGGTTAAACCTGCAAGAGCATGTGTGCTCATTGGAGGTGCGGTGAATCCTTTTAGAGAGGAAGAAGCCCTCCATGCAGTTTTCTTACATGGCAAAATGGACCCAGTTCTTGATTTGGGCAACACAAAAGGGAATTAACCTTGTTGAATCCCCTCTTCTGATGGCATTGAGCTACCTCCTTCACCTGAAACACTCATGACTGGCTCTTGCATTGCTCAAGGTCCACTTAGCCACAATTTCTTTCATCCTCCGTTTCAGGGCCAATCTGTATTCTCCTATGACCTCACAGGTAGGTTCTCGAAGGACCTTAGGAGACTTTTTCCACAAACTTTGGCTACTCTTTTGTAGTGAGCCCTGAATCTGATTGTATCTCAGTTAACAGGTCTCCCGTTTGAGCCTCAGGCATCTTGTTCCTTGTTTCATTTGTCTGCAAAGGTATTCTTCTTGGTAATGATTACATAAGCTAGGAGATTATCTGAGCTTTGGGCACACGGAATCGCCTTACATCAGGGGTGTCCAAACTTTTTTCAAAGAGGGCCAGATTTGATGAAGTGAACATGCGTGAGGGCCGGCCATTTTGCCTGACATTCTTTGAACCATTAAAATTAAATGCAAATTAACTATTTTATGCAAAGTTTATTGCAAACGGCATACTTTTCATTTCGTCACATGGATGACAAATCTAAACAGGTGTTAAATCACTCTGCCTTTCCTATCTGAAGGCCAGATGAAAAAAAATCCAGGAAGCTGAAATATATGTCAGGAACATTGTAAAGTACATTACATATTATTGGTAATAAAGGTTGTCTGTCAACTTTTAAGTTCAAAAAATATGAACAGGAACATAACACCAAGTATACATGTTGTGTCCAAATATATTTATAACTGATTTAGACCAACTGACATTAACTGAGATTTTACAATGTATTCATCTCAATACATATGGATTCGTTGGGGGCCATAAAAGATAGATATTGCCAAATTACCTGGGGGGCCGTATTAAACCGGAACACGGGCCGCAATTGGCCCGTGGGCCGGACTTTGGACATGCCTGCCTTACATGGTCTTCTTTAAGGATAAGGTGCAATTTAGACTGCATTCCGCTCTCCTCCCTAAGGTGGTTCAGGTCTTCCATTTTGGCCAGGATATCTTTTTACTGTCTACTATCCAAAACCTCATAAGACCAGTGAGGAGAGAAGCCTCCATGCCCTAGATGTCAGGCGGGGCTCACAAGACCCTTCCATAAATCCTCTCAGCTCTTCATAGTGTTTGCTGAACACATGAATGTTTGTCTGGTTTCTTCACATCGGGTTTCCAGATGGATCACAAATCCTCATCAGCTGGCAGGTGTCCAACCTCCACTGCTCATCAAGGTGCACTCAACCATGGTGCAAGATGCCTTCCTGGCAAATGTCCCGATCACTGACATTTGTAAGGCTGCAATGGACCACACATTTACATCCCATTATGCTGTTATACAGCAGGCCAGAGAAGAGGCAGCATTTGGCAGGGCTATTCTCTCTCCTGCATGTCCATGAACAGCAGAAAAGAAAGTAAATGAAAGTAAACTCCTACCCTCTACTGCTTGGAGTCACCCAAGTTGAATGGATGTGAGCAATCACTTGGAGAAGAAAAGGCAGCTACCTACTTCTGAATCTGGTGTTCTTCAAGATCTGGTGTTCTTCAAGATCTGTTGTTCATGTCCACTCAATAGTCCCTCCTCCTTTCCTCACTGTCAGAGTTTCTGGCAAGGAGGAATTGGAGAGGAAGGGGCCCGGGAGCTCCCTATATAGCATGGCATGTGTGCACCACTCCAGGGGACACTGGGACTGGTCCCCTAGGGATAAATCTTCCAGCACAGGTGCATGCTATGAGGACACATACATCCATGTTTTATCCTAATCACTTTTCTTCACGTTCTATCAATGTTTCTTCTGTCACAATGTGATATCTGAATACGTTTTATTACTTGTTTCTTTAGAGAGAGGCTGGCGGGCTGAATTTCTCCCAATGGATCACCCTCTGTCAGAGTTTGAATTTAATGTTGTTATTGGTGCAGATGGTCGCAGGAACACTTTAGAAGGTGGGTAAAAGCTATTCTTAAGATCAATATCTCTTTAAAGTGCAGTGAAAAGAGAACAAAGAGAACAGAAGGGAATGGGTTACACCTCCTCTCACTGCACAAGTATTTACATATATGACAGTGGAAATTTCTTTATGGTGTGTTTTCTGCCTTTATAATCGTGTTTTTGGATCCACCCCATAAAGTGAGACATTTACTTCATTACCGATTCTTAGGGCCATCTCTGCCACACAGTTTGTAGGGATTATATTGTGGTGGCAGTTACTACCTTGAGTCCCTACTGCAAGGTTAAGAAATATCATGCTGATTTAATTTTATGGTGATTGTGCAGTTCCTGACATATATTTGTCATTCTTCATGTCGTTTTCTCTTAAGTCAGCTGAATATACTTGAAATAATGATTATATGGTGACTGCCAGGTATTTAATGAACAGAGGAGTCATTCTTGGAGGGTGGTGATTAGTACCAGAAGCAGTAATTTCTATAACAGATGGAAGAGATAATACATAACTGGGAGGAAAAGAAGGTCCTGCTGTTACATCTCACAGAGTTCCAGCCCCACGAGTTGCCTTTGTGAGGGAGACATTAGCTAAGCAGCTCTGGTGTCATACGAACTAGCCTGTCACTTAATTATAGGTTCATCTCATAGCTGTAATTACACACGTTAGTTTAAACTGACAAAGTTCCTGATTTCCCTTTCTATTAGTTTTAGTTTGTTCCATATAGCCTGCTTTCTTTCATATCTGCCAAACTCAATACAGTGCTTATGGATTTTTTTCCCTTAACTTTTTTTAAAAAATGTCAGTTAGATTGTTGCAGGATTCATACATCATCTGTCTACCGATGACTACTAATGTACTTTGTTCGACAATAAAACTGATCTAGGTTCCTTCATATCTTATCTGAGTCTGTGGCCCTTGGGAGCTCTTGTGAAGTCTGTTATGCTAGCTCCGTGCGCAGAATTGGCATGATATACTGAGGGAGCTTAAGAAAACACATGCAGCCAAATGTTTATAATCACTGTATGGCTGTCCTGACCTACTACAATTAGGTTAGGTTGGGATATCATTAAAATGTTGGAGGAATCAGGAACCCAACTTTGTTTGAGACTGCAAAAGCTGATAAGTACTATTTCAGACAGTTTTAAATTGGCACCCTTAAACTTTTCAAGATAGGTGGGTCAGCCTCAACAAATGAACCTTAATGTTGCTGAATTGTGAATCCTTTTGATCTCCAGGTTTTAGAAGGAAGGAGTTTCGTGGCAAGCTAGCTATAGCTATCACAGCCAACTTTATCAACAGAAACACAGCTGCAGAAGCCAAGGTGGAGGAAATTAGTGGTGTTGCTTTCATCTTCAATCAAAAATTCTTCCAGGACCTCAAAGAGGAAACTGGTAGATCCTCATTCTCTTATTTTTTCATGACCAAGCAAAATATACAGTAGGGCAACTTGGCATATAAAGGACCACTGCCTACCCCTTCCAAAAATAGCTTTTAATGTATTAAATAACACAAAGCAATAACATTCTGCTGCTTTCAAAGTCTTAGGGAGGTGTTCCTACAATGAAATTATTTTCTAAGCATAGGTGTACCACAGCCTGGATCTCCTGTGTTCTCATTTTTTCTCAACTATAAAAAATATTTTGATACAAATTATATATTTTTTGTGAGCGCATTCTCAATATCTAGAGTTTTCCCTTCAAGAGAAAATGCTTGGGATTGCTTTGTATTAGTTCATATATTATGTTGTAAGCACCTCATAATATATGCTCACTTGCTTTCTTTGAAGTATCATTGTCTATTTGCTAAGAAAGTGATTTTTGAAGTGCATATTGGTTAGCTGTCAATAAGCTTTTATATCACTTCAAAATTAATTGAAAACCATTCCCTCCCTGTAAATTTATATAAACCGTATCTTGTATTAAATCTTCATTTTAGGTGTCTGAAAAAGGGGCCCAGAATAGGGAAACATCCATTAGGCGTATACTAAAGGGCATATACAGGCAGTCCCCGACTTACGCGGATCCGACTTACGTCGGATCCGCACTTACGAACGGAGCTTTCTCGCCCCGGAAGTCGGGGCGAGAAAGCCCCGTTCGTAAGCTGCTCCGGTGCCCCTGGTCTGCTGGAGACCGTCTCCAGCAGACCAGGGGCACAGGGCGGGTTCCCGCGCTTCTGAGGCTTTGCCAGAGCAAAGCCTC